TTTCAAAACTAAGCTCATAAAATTTTCTTCCCCATGTGCCCTCCCCTAACTTCTCCATCACGATCAACGGCACAACTGTTAATCCCTTCCCTGTGGCCATGGTCCTAGGTGTAATCCTGGACTCTGACCTCTCCCAGTTCTTTCAGTATTTCAGTTGAAGGATGTCAGGTGAGAAGGTGCTGACAGGGCCACCCTTGAACTGAATTTCAACTGGTTCTTCAGCTCAATTTAATCTCCTGCTTTGACTAGCGCAAATTTTTCCATGTTGGCTTACTTTTACAGAGGCTATCCACTCTTCAGTCTATCATAAATGCTGATGCCAGACTTTTTCAACACACTAACCGCTCATTGGCCACCCCTCCCTCCACTGATCTCTACTTGCCCAATGAATGGAATTCAGAATACTATGTTTGTTTAAAATTCAGAATACTGCAAAATATAAAAAGCAATCCACAACACTGCCCCAAGCTACACCACCAAGCTTGCAACCAATCAACTTCTGTCATCAGCTTGTTCAATTATGTTTTGAAAATGAAATCTGTGAGCTGATTGGTTACTATGTTCAGCTTTTGTCCAATTTGCTAAAGAGTCTATAGTACAGAGGTCAGGAATGCATAATGCACAGGCCACTTAACAGGGTATGATCAAAAGAACCCCCTCTTCCTAGTACAAATCACCCCCACAGTATAGATCTCCCCTAGCATCCCTAAATCCCCCTTCCAGCCTACCCCTTTATTACAGATCCCTCCAGCACAAAATCCTCAGTACAGTACAGCCCCCAAGCACAGTCCCCTCCTCCGGCACAAACCCCTCAATACAGACAGACCCCCTCAGTACAGACTGCCCACCCTTCCAGCACAGACCGATTTACTCTAACACAGACTGCCCCCCCACTATAGAAGTACCCCTCTCCCTAGCACAGACCCCTCAGTACAGACTGATGCTCCTAACACTTCCCCCCCCCCCCCCAGTAAAGACTCACCCCACAGTACAGATTCTGTAGTCCTTGGAGATGGAATGTAACCCATGCAGCAGAGAGCATAGAAAGTGCTATATTAATCAGCTGATACGATTTCTGGTTAAATCAATACGTTTTCTTTGCACTAATCAAACTGATATAAAAATGTTGTTTTCACAGACCAAAAGGCAGCAAACGAGAGGTTTATTTTTGGGGGTTCCTTGCACTTTAAGCTCTTGTGGTGGTTGTTCTCTGCTGTAGCTGAATATAAAATATGACATGCCAGGACTGAGGCAAGACCTGAAGCACTCAATGTTTACTACAACAATTGCCATTGTTATTTGCAGAGAACTGCTAGTCTCCAAACAAGGACAAGCAAACATTTCTAGGGAAGTGAAGTCTAAAGTTTTGCAGCCTTACTGATACAACGATCATTTTAGCAATTAAAGTAATTAGGTTATCATTATTATTCCTAATCTGTATAGCATCAGAATATCATATAGGAATGCTGCAGGATATTTGCCTTCTAGTCCTTGTTGTTTTATTCTACAGGCCCCTGCCTTTCATTATGATGGAAGGCCTCACAAACCAATAGTGAAGCATTGGCTGCAGGAGAGAGTGGAGCTAAGCCATCCACCCTAAACTCTTTGTTATAGCACAGAACAACGATTTAGGCAGGGTGGACTGACAACTCATGGGGCCCCCGGGCAATAGGGGATCATGGGTCCCCTGTGTCCTTGCCCAAACTCAAAAAAGCCTATGAAAAAGGTACCAGGGGCATCTCATGGGGCCCCCTACTGACCCCGGGCCCTCGGGCAGTGCCCGAGTTTCCAAATGGTCAGTACGCCCCTGGATTTAGGGGACCAAGGAGGTTTTAGGAAATATGACTGGCTGTTTAGGCTCCTAGAGGTGACTGCTTTACCAAGCAAGTGATAGCTTATTTTATTTATTATCCCCACTGCTTTGCCTTAAAGACAAAATTAACAAATATATGTACATCTACATAGCTGGTTCATTTGCGTTTTCTGTTTTTGTTTATTATAGGACATTATTGGTGAGGTTCTAATCTCACTGAAATGTTTACCCACTGCACAAAGAATTGAAGTTGGGATTTTAAAATTCAAAACCAGCTCACAGAACGTTATTCAGGAAAGAGGTATGTAATTTAGACCCAAATTTGGCTTTAGGTCTCCTCCCTTAGTGCTCCCCTCTCCCCTGGAACCCCCTGTATTTTTTGCTTTTTTATATACTTGTCTTTCTCCAATGTCTTTATACTGTATACATGAAGCATAGGCTATCCTCAATTATGCTGAGAACAGCATGGAAGTGACATCAGCACCACTTATTTCAAGGTGCCCTGGTAATGCTCTTTGATGGCAGGTTATTCACTCAGTAGGGTTGATCTGCTAAAACTGGGAGAGAGCAAAATCTGGTGCAGCTGTACATGGCTGCCAATCAGCTTCTAAATTTAGTTTGTTCATTTAGGCTTTGACAATAAAAACCAGGAAGCTGATTGGTTTCTATGCAGAGCCCAGTGTGTCTTCACTCTTTCAGATTGAATAGGTGTCCACCCCAGAAGAATGAGGACATGTTGTGACAGAGAAAAGGTTCTGCAGGGGACAGTTTTAAAGAGGAGATGAGTACTGAAGCCAAGGGCTGCTTTTTAAAATGTATTTATTTTTTGAATAATTGTTGCCTAGATTTTGGGCTTAATTAAAAATTTCAAAATAAGTATGCTTTATTTCTGATTTACCTGAAATGCTCTAATTGAGATTCGAAGTAAGGATAAACAGGCTGTATGCAATGGGATCACAAGGACACACCCACACACACTGCTTTCCAGGCAGATGATACCAAACCTGCCGACCTCTCCATGCAGAAATAATAAAGAAATACATATCAGATATAAGCAAACATGAACAGAGTGATGTTTACTAAAAAGTGATGTTTAACTGCTTCAGCTCTGCCCCATAGCAGAAATACCGCTACAGGGCGGCAGCTGTGCGCAAAATCAAGTGTATATATATATATATGAAAATTGGCCTGGGCAGGAAGGGGGGGTAAAAATGCCTGGTATTGAAGTGGTTAATCATTTTTTCAACACTATCTAGTGCACTTCACTTGTTTCTTTTGATTTGCATGCAATGTGATACTTGAACAGGGTACTGCATGCTTTGTGTGACCCATGTCTCTCTATAGAGCACCTTCTTTCTGCAAGCTGTCTCTGGTCCACTCATGATTGTGGTACATCCCATTATTTCTGTTAGCAAGGATAAGAAATCTGGAAACCCAATCACTGAAACAGTGAAAAACAGAAACTGAAACACAGGCCCTTGGCAATAATGTTAACCCTGTCTTAAACATTTTTTAACCACTTGCCCTCCATAGGATTTACCCCCCTTCCTGACCAGGCAATTTTTTGTAATACGGTGCTGCTTTTATTTTAATTAACAATTGAGCGGTCATGCAACACTGCACCCAAATTAAATGTATGTCCTATTTTCCCCCACAAATAAAGGTTTCTTTCGGTGGTATTTGACCACCTCTGTGTTTTTTTATTTTTTTTGCGCTATAAACAAAAAAAGACCGACAATTTTGTGTAAAAAACATTTTTGAATTTTTGCTATTAAACATGTCCAGTAAAAAAATAAAAAAAAAATTCACCATAAAATTTAGGACAAAATGTATTCTGCTACATGACTTTGCTAAAAAAAAAAAAATCACAATACGTATAAATTAATTGGTTTATGTGAAAGTTATAGCATCTACAAATGCCGTATATATACTGGAATTTTTGTTTTTATATACTAGTAATGGCGGCAATCAGTGACTTGTAGCGGGACTGCGGTGGGCATTCTGACACGGGGGGGGGGGACTGACTAACTGTCACTGACATCCCCAGTGACACTAATACAGTGATCAGTGCTAATAAAAAGCACGGACACTGTACTTATGACACTGGGCAGGAAGGGGTTAACATCTGGGGTGATCAAAGGGTTAACTGTGCGCTATGTGCTGTTTTACTATTGTGTATGTGTGTGCTGTACTGTGTAAGCACATTGCTTTGTATTGCTCTGCTATGCAGATGATGCTACACAAAGTTATATTCCCTGACCAGGCAGAGGCCAACCTGCTTTTTATACAATATTGGTTAATCATATTAGACAGCTCTGTGTAAAAAAAAACAATAATTTTCATGCTTAATTTTCAAAAACATGTGTCAAGAAATAAAGTATTCAAAAGATTAATTGTGCCTCTTAAATAATTATGGGCGTTTCAAAAATTTCCATGAAAAAGGCACTCACCGCACTACAAATAAATACAATCCCAATCAGTAAAAACATATTATAAATATGCCAGAGTGCTAATATTGTTAAATAATAATCAATGTGACCTATTTATTAACCATTGAATAAATCAACATAATTCATAAATTCATATTAAAAATTATTTGTAGTGGGGTGAACGCCTTTTGTATAGAAATTTTTGACACAGAGTAATATACACTGTAAGAGCTGTTTCCATTTCTTTTCTTTTTGTTTAGAGTTGGTGTGGTGCCCATTTGATTTCACTTTAATTATGGGTGTTTGCTTTCCAAAATGGAGTCTCATATCTTATAGGGTATCCCCATATTCACGAGGAATAGCAGAGAGTGTTTTGGGGTGTAATTCAAAATATATCCATGCTGCGTTTGAGAAATATTAACCACCTCCCACCCGCCATATAGTAATATGATGGATGCAAGGTGGTTCTCTCATTCTGGGAGGACGTCATATGACGTCCTCCCATTCTAACCCCGCATGCGCAGCTCCCGGAGCACGCAGTGTGGCAATCGGAGGTGCGCTGTGTCCCTTGGACACAGCGGATCACCGATCCATGGAAAGAGCAGAAGATGTCTGCTCAGTCATGTGATCAGCTGTGTCCAATCACGGCTGATCACATGTAAACAGGGAAATGCCGGTTATCGCCATTTCTCTCCCCACGGGCTGTCACGCTGACAGCTCGTGAGGAGAGGAGAGCCGGTAATCGGCATTCCTCGGAGGGGACATCTACACAGATCATCAGAGCACTGATGATCAGTGTGCCCTGATGATCTGTGTAGCCCCAGCAGCGCCACCTGTCAGTGCCCATCAGTGCCACATTTCAGTGCCCATCAGTGCCACATTTCAGTGCCCATCAGTGCGACATCAATGTCACATATCAGTGCCCATCTGAGCTGCCTTTCAGTCTCACCCATCAGTGCCAGTCAGTGCCACCTATCAAAGCCAGTCAGTGCCACCAATCAGTGCTGCCAGTCAGTGCCGCCTATCAGTGCCAGTCAGTGCTGCCTAGCAGTGCCCATCAGTGCCGCCTAGCAGTGCCCATCAGTGCTGCCTAGCAGTGCCGCCTAACAGTGCCAGTCAGTGCCACCTAACAGTGCCAGTCAGTGCTGCCTATCAGTGCCATATATGAGTGCTGCCTTTCAGTGCCCATCAGTAATGCCTGTCAATGCCCATCAGTGCCACCTACCAGTGCCTCCTCATCAGTGCCTATCAGTGTCCATCAGTGCAGCCTATCAGTGCCCATCACTGCAGCCTCATTAGCGCACATCAGTGAAGGAGAAAAATCACTTATTTACAAAATTTTATAACAAAAACTAAGAAAAACTTTTTTTTTCAGAATTTTTAGTGGTTTGTTTAAGAAAAAAAATAAAAAACCCTAAGGTGATTAAATACCACCAAAATAAAGCTCTATCCGTCACAAAAAAATGATAAAAATTTCATATGGGTACAGTGTTGCATGACCGCGCAATTGTCATTCAAAGTGCAACAACGCTGAAAGCTGGAAATTGGCCTGGGCAGGATGGGGGTATAATTGCCCTGTAGGCTAATGGTTAATTGACAGCTTTGTGTAATTAAAAAAAAAAAAATTCTCTCTTCATTTTGCAATAACGCGTGGTAAAAAATTTGATCTTCAAAAGACTTGCCGTTCCTCTATTTAAATACTGGATGGTCTACTTTGCATCATTTTATGGGTGTTTTTCCCATCCTTACACTTCTGGGCCTCAAGTAGTGTGAAAGGCAGTCAGAAAATCAGATGCATTAATACCCCTTGAAATCCTGCAGGTGTCTGATTGAATTTTGGGCTCCTCCGGGCAGTAAGACAGTCTCACATGTGGTATCCCAATACTTGGGAGGAGTATAAGAATGTGTTCTGGGGTGTAATTGTAAGTATGCCCATGCAGTGAAATAAAATCAAATTGTATTTACCTTCTTCATTTTCCAAAAGATTACACCATTCTTCTTTCTAAATACCATGGAGTGTCTACACTCCAAAAATTTTGGGGGGGTTGTACTGTCCTGGAGTTGATACATTTCAGATATAAATATGATAGCTTGTAGACTCTATAATTTTCACAGAGACAAAATAATATACACTTATTTTTTTAACATAGAAATGTAGCGGAACACATTCTGGCCTATGTATATGAAGAAATCATTTATTTTCAAAATTTTATAGCAGAAACTAAAACTGTGGGGGTTTTTTCAGCTTTTTTCATAATTATATAGTAAAAAGTAAAAAAAAAAACAATGGTGATGAAATATCACCAAAGGAAAGTTCTGTCTCAAAAAAATAATATACAATTAATTTGGGCAGTGTTGCATGACCAAGTAATTGTTAGCCAAAGTATCACAGTGCTAAAAACTGAAAACTGGCCTGGACAGGAATGGAGTTTTAATTTGCTGGTTTTTAAGTGGTTAAATCCATAGATATAGAGAGGTTATGAGATCACTGCCTATTTGCTAAGGCTGCTTTTAATTTTTTTCACTTATACATTTAAAGGAGATCAGCCTCGTGTAGATAATGTTGTCAAGGTTTGTTAATGTTTTAAAAAATTAGGTGTCTATGTATAATTTCTAATTGTATATGCACATGGGAGCAGCCATATTTGCTCATTACATATCCAGGCTCTAATTACCTCTTGCAGCTGTACACGTTTGTACTTTACTTGACATTATTATGCAGTATCTATAAAAACCATTGTTCCTCTATGTACTGCACCATTAAACTGTCTATGAATACAATATTGTTTGCGCCCTGAACGTTAAACGGAATGTATACATAATTAATTATTTTTTATGAAAAAATAAATAAAAGATGAAAAAATAGTAATGTAAATATAAAATATATATACCTGTGCTGAAAGTAGGCAGCTGTTTGGGAACTCTTTGTTACACATGTCTGAGCCGTAGCAGTGGCTTTGGGCATGTTATTTGCAGTTGTAGTGGAAATGCACTAAAGTGCTGACATCAGCCATGACATTAGTAAAACTACGACAGTTCTTGTTTGTCACATGGCATATCATGATGTCAGATTATGTGACCCAGTATTACTTTTACTGTTCATAGGTACATTTCTTCCGTGTTTACTACTCTTCCTGAATCCCTGATACATTAAAGTGGCATTAAACCCCAAACCAAAAATCTAATATATTGCAGCTTTCCAATCATTAGATTTGGAGGCAGTATTAGTTTTCTTTTTAAGGTTTTTTTCTCTCTGTTTTCACCTCTTGATCTGGCCAGTAACATATCTCCTGTATTAGAGTCCCTTCATTTTGGATAAATGAGTAACAGAGATTCCTTTGGACAGCAGAATTGTCAGTCTGGGGGGAGGGGAATATTAGAAGTACTAGCAGATTTAGATACACTAATTAGTCGAAGCCAAACTCCAGCTCACACTGCAGTTACACCAGCAACAGTTTTTGTTTGGATAAAGGTTTACATGAATAAAAGCTGATCATTGTAAGCACCCCATCAGTGGTAAATGTTTTTTCTCTAACTGCTACATCTGCAGAACAGCTTGTTCTGTTTAAAAACAGTCATACATGCAGGATCACCAGGTGAATATAAAGGAAAGAAAGAGCCTAAAAAAGAAAACTAACACAGCTATCACATCTAAAAACTGGTAAGCTGAAATATAATATATGTTTGCTTTTGAGCCTAATACTGCTTTAATAAAAAAAATGCAAGAGTTGTTTTGTTTAAGCGGAGCTCCAGAAATTTTATTTTTTGCAAACACACATTGGTTGAGCTTGGCTTTGATGTAGGTATCCAGATTGGATAACCAGAGTCCAGAGGACCACTGAGTGATACAGAAAATCACTGAAGTAGTCTATGCTACATGCAATGATAGTTATGATCTCCTGGGTGCTTCTCCAGTGGGTTCTTCTTTGAACACAGAGGGTCAGTCACTTGGCGTTGCAACCATTCAGGTAGGGCCTTTAAAGAATGCAAGACATTCTGTGTATGTCATTCACCCTTATTCCCCACATCATTCAATCAGAGAATGCCTTGTATTCACTGAAAAAAATACAAGGCATTCTCTGAATGGTGGCAGTGCTGACTGGGCAATCCCGTGTCCAATGTGCAGTGGGAAAGCTGTGGTAGAAACACCCAGAAAATCAGGGCTATCACTGTACGTAGGGCAGACTACTACAATGATTTTCAGCATCCCCTGTGGCCCTCCAGATATTAAATATGCCTGCTACAGTTAGTCCCTGTCCAGCTCTTATTTCTTGGGAATTAAAGGACAGAAAGTGAGAGAAAAATTTCCCAATGCGGTCACAGACAGAAATAAACAGCAGATAGAAATTTTTATCTCAGCTACATTCTATCCAACACTAAAAAAAATGCTGACTGGAGTTAGTCTGTAACTATTAAATTGCCTATTAACAGTTGACCAGCAGAGGACATCACTTAACCATAGAGGAGTAAAACAAGTCAGTGTCGTATGATAACAGATTGCTGTGTTCTGTATAAACCAAAGCGTCATCTTTGGAGCAGTGGGATTCTTATCAATAGGGATGAGCTGAATATACTTGGGTTTGGCTCAAGATGAGTTTAATGAACATTACTGAAGTTTAGGTGCAGAATGCAGACAAACTACTGCATTTTTTCATAGGTAACGCTTTAAAAGCCTTTACAGGTTAGTAGTATTAATTGTGCAGTATGGTCCTAGAATTATTGCTCTTGCTCTGACATTTGCACTGATATCTCACTTATGGTGCAGTCGCAGTTTACATACACTTGCAGGACCTACATGTAATTTTGCAATTGCATGTATGCTTGGGGAGGGGCCAGTGTGTGTGTTTTTTTCTTTTAGTTATTTTTTTTTAACTACACAAATTTTTTTTTTCTTCATTTAGCTTTATTGCTATCACAAGGAGACTAAAAAGGATGGTGGACCTGGCCCTGCTTTCTACAATAAAAAGTGATCGGGAGCTGCAGAGCTGCCCAGATTACTTTTTTTTTTTTAAAGTTATATTTATTGAATTTTCACAATGAGATACAAGAAACCTCACAAAGTTCAAATGAAAAGGAAAAAAACAACAATGTACCTCGCAGGGTCCCACAGGTTTCACAATAGAAAAAATATTAATACACACAATATTAGAAGATTACACAAGTAAAAGGACCATACCCTCCGGTGTAAAACTGCAAGTGCATATACAGTAATAAACAAGTTTCAGTAGTCTGGATCTAGAGAGGTAAATGTGCGAAGACTGGAGATCCATCTGCCCCACAGTTTATCAATTTTTTTTTGGTTTTTAATTCAAAAGTTTAGCTATATAAAGGGAGGGAGTCAGTAATAAGTTTAAGCCATTGGGGCTTACTGTCTTTCCAGGACAGTAAAATGACCTTTTTAGCATAAAATTTCAAAATATGTAGTAGTCGTTTTGCATACTTAAAAAGAGACAAGTCCCCAAATATTCTCAGGAGGCAATTTTGGATAAGGAACAATGAGAAAACCCTATGCAGAGGAGAAAATGGTGACCTCTTCTCCAGTTGTTACCTCTGACAGGCTTCTAATCCTCAGGTTATTTCTTCTATCCCTATTCTCTTGATCTTCCATTCTATATGCCATCTTCCTTTGCTCCTTACACATATCCTCTATTTGCATTTCCAACTTCATAATTACTCGTGCTTGTGTCTCCACTCTTTCCTCTGTATCCTTTAGCCGAGATAGAACTTGTCCCAGTTCATTATGTAGAGTTGCCATTTCGTTCTTTATGGAGGTCTCTAATTTCGCAAACATCTCTTCCATATCTGTTGTCGTAGGTATTTGCAGAGTTAGACCTTATTCCTCCATGTCTCTAGAGTCCCCCCCCACTTTCTTATTAATCAGCTCTTTAGATTAATCTGGATTTGATGATACTAGTGACAGTCTATTTTGATCTTCCTTGTTACTTCTCCGCTCATGTCATCCCCTTGCTTCCTGATGTCTCTCTGGAGTGTGACCCTCTGGACTTTTTTCTTGTGGGGGCAGATATTTCCTCCTTTAGCCGATCTACTGTTCATATTAATACGCTGTTGCTAATACTTTTCTTTTGCTTTTATGTCCCTATAATGTTTTGACT